GTTATTTACACTGAACAAAAAGTAATCTAAAGCTATTTCGTCTTAAAATCAAACAAGCATTTACCTTCACACTGCTGGCTAATTACTATTATTTGTCATAACACTCTTTTACAGGAAGATGTCAAAATCAAACATTCAATACCGTTTCTACAATATCGTCAATGTCCTCCTCAGAATGACTGTCCTCCTCCAACTCATTTTCATCAACTCCGCTACTACAGCTCTCATCATCATCATCACCATCTTCGTCAGGCTTGTAATCATCTGTGACAATGTTCAGAAAGTGATACATGTAAATCATGCCAAAGTTCATTTATAGTAGGTATTAAGTTAAAACTTTCCCTATGCCACAACCGATCTCTAATGCTCAAAGGAGAGCAGCGCTGACCTTCAGCCACAACTGCCTGGGTTCAATTGTTCAGACATTATTAATGATAATGATACATTTATACGGTCCATCCTCCACGTAAATATGCTCAAATCTACCTTACAACACTTTGCAGGGGACTTTGGTCAGACTGCAGTAAGCAGTTTACGATTTTTGAAAGGAAATTCTGCCGGGGCCCCCAATTTAGGAATTTTTGGAAACAACAACACATCACAATGCCAGGAGCTATGTTCCTTACCCATTGCAAGAAGTGCTTGGGTTTTTAAAAGCTAGCATTTTAAGTGTTAGCCCTTTATCAGTCAGAGTGAATAGTCTTTACTCAGATCCCTTTCTCACAGCAAGAACACTATTTAACCCTCTAACTCTCAAGATCTGATTGTTAACTCTCCCCTCTAGCTGCTACACATTTTCTTGTAAATTAGTTATGAGAACTTGATGCTAGATCAAGATAGCAACTTCTACCTGATAAGTTTGGATATTCTCATTACCTGTTTGCTCAATAATGTATGGATATTATAGGGAGAATTTTCAGGGTAATCACTTCTGGGATCCTTTCCAATATTTCACTCTCCTCTTGTCCCCTAGACTACTACCTCATGTAACACATATCACCACATACCTGCTGAGTCTTCTGAACCCGACTCTATAATACGTCTTTTCTTTACTTTTTTATTCTTTGTGGCAGCTTTCCTTCGGGGCCGTTTGCTGTTGTACTGTGTACAAATGTTAAGGAGCAGAAATATGCAGAGAAACAATTACCATCACTCATTATTTTCTTTTGAACTTTGATATTTTTTAACCTTTTAACTCGCATAAGTGACCAACACAGAATTTCTCCTTACAATATCAATACAATATTATGTAGACAAGTGATGAGAATAAAGAAAACTATCAATTTGGGGATTATTAGTTGATTCAACACTAAATTCTCTGAACTAATATTATAAGAATTGTGACATGACAGTAAGGAGAATTACAAATTTGATCTGGGAGTTAAAAGGTTAAGCTAAATTTTAACCTAATGTGATTCCAACCTGTTTTCAATTTAAACCACAACAAAAATCTCTAGAGAAATTGGTTAAACCTTTACACCCTAACATCAGTAAACACATTCTCCATACTGTTTATATTTACCAAGGTACTGACAAGGAAAATTTGTTAAACAATCAAGAGCTTTTTACTTGGTGATCATTTTCTTTATTCTCATGACCTTAATGTGTGATTCAGGGGTGATATTGTAAGGAGAAATTAAATGCTAGTCACTCTTGAGGATCAAAGTGTAAAAACCACAGCTGTTTCCAATTGAAATAGTTGATCCCAAGAGAAATGACCTCAGAACTCTGTAACAAAAATTTAGGTACCATTCTTTTACCTTCCTTCCTGTAACCTCATCATCATCATCCTTCTCGTCACTAGCATCATTTCTGGAACTTCCTCCACTGTTCTTCCTCTTCTGTCCGCTTGATTCTTTCTTGGGGCTCTCATCATCTGTTAACATTGTTTCATCACAAGGGTCTTCTCCATTCTCTTCCTCATCAGAAGGTAAACAGTTGACAAGTTCCTTTCGCTGTTCCAGTGTGAGAGACAAGGCATCCTCAGCTTGCTGCACTGCATTCTTTATGTTGGGATCTATCACACGATTGTTTTGATCTTTTGAAAATTGTTTCATTTGCCTGGCAGAAATGAAAGAGTTTAAAAAAGATCATCTAACAATCAGTAGCTCCATAATTTATCAACACACACTGGTTTTTTTAATAAAAAAAAAGATTAACAGAGATTAACCAAAATTTTTAAGAACATCCCAGGCAGCAAGTCAGTTACAAACAGCCTCATTTTGCCCATTTTTTTTTGTAAGAAGTATTAATAAACGCAACAGAAATATAAAACTGTGGTTTAACAGGAAAATTAACTCAAATACTTAAGGACATTTTTTAGATTGATTTATTGAAATCGGATAAAACACAACTTTCAATACATATTAAAAATGTTTTCCAAGACATTCTTATAAAAAAAAAAAAAAGTGCACTTGTATTGTATACCAATACTTGGAATCCCAGTATCCAGTTGGTATGTTGTTTCTGAGATTGTCTGATGATCTGGTTTTATCAACTAAGTTTATGTTATAAATTGGCCCATGCACAGTTTCTAAAGCTGAAATTTCGAGCATTAGCCCTTTGTCAGAGCATATGGAGGAATTGTGGGTTGTGTGTGGTTTATACACAGAAAGATGGAGCTACACTATTGGTGGGAATATTGTAACATTACAAACACAAGGATAAATTAGTGGAAAGAAAACCATCCCCTGATACCCTGGGGATTAAGAGTACCAAATTGAAAGATAAATTTTTGTCTGAGTTTCACGGCTTTCCAGACTGCCTAGATGTAGGGAAAAGCCACAGTCTGCCTCGCGTTGCTTAGAATGATTGGCATTGTCTGTTTTCTAATCCTTGATCAAGAATTCAATGTTAAATTGACTGGAAACTCATCCGACACTTCCCAGATGACACAACATTTAATTTTTTCCACCCTTTAGAACCTTAAATCAAAGCATTTTAAATTTCTTACGATTTGGTTTGCATAGAAACGTAATTCTTTACAATCATTCCATCAACATTTGAAAAAAATGGAAAAAAAAGTTATTTTAGGATCACATTTAGCTTTAGAAACCCGCGTTGTTCTTTTCAAAGCCTAACAATGTGCAGGAGTTTTGGGTATACAAAGGCCATTGTTTAGCTGAAGTTACAAGACCCAAGAGACAATGTAGATGATCGCTAAGCTTACAATCTTTCAGACAAGTAACAAGAAAAATAATCAATACTTCGAAATTAATATCCGATTCAAACTTTTCTAAACAAAAGCGCTGTTGAACGTAAATTGTAACGCAATGATCGCATGATATAACTAACCGAATCGAACTTTCGAAAGATCAGGGAGCGCGTAAATATTTTACCTTCGCTTTACCCAAGCTCGACTCGGAGGGTCTCCAAAAAACTGAACATGGCACTTATCTCCTCGTTCGTAAACTCTTTGCGTAGGATGATCACAGATCAAGCTTGGCCACCAGGGGTGTCCTTCGAGTTTCGCCCATACAATTCCACATCGTTCAATCTTCACCAAGCCAGATTCCCCGCTCAAATCTTTCTGCGTCCTCGAAGCTTTCGGCGTGTTTGGCGACGTCGATTTCTTATCGTTTATTGGCGAAAACCCCTGCGCGCCTTCCTTTGGCGAATTATTCTTATTTTTATCTGCAGTATCACCGCAAACAGGAGACGAGGGCTTCTTCGATTTTGGAGTAAAATACGAAAACAGAGTCGCCATGTTTACACTCTCACGTGAAGAATTTTCCCGCGCTTCTCTACAGAATCAGTGCGCATGCATAATATTTTACTTGTTCCCAGATTCTCAATCGGCCATAAAAGATGGAGAAGAAAGAGACGAACCAAGGGAATTGGAGAGTAGAGTGGGCGAGGCAGGGGGGGGTGAAGAAATGGGAAAAACCAGTCGATGAAGTCTGATTAAGGACGAGTTTGGTACATCTGATTGTCGCGCACAGATCAAATTGTTCTGGCAGTCAACAACTATCAGCTTGCGCGTAGTTTCACGCTATCTCAGTTTAAATGAAGACGCTAATTTTCATTTTGTGATACCTTAAGTTAATGATCCGCAATTTCAAGTGTGAGTCAGTATGATCTTAGGGTCATACGCTTTTT